GAATGTCAGTTTTTTGTTCCTACGAACTGGGAGACGATGCGAATTTACCACAAGTTTTAGATACCACGATGACTGAGGAGCATGCCAGTGCACACGATCATGCGGCGGCATTCATCGATATGCGATGGGGTCCACCAGGAGACTCGGATCGTCTGCCATTCCAGGGCACGATTCCAGATTCATCACTAGGAGTCGCAGGCTCGGATGTGGTGCTGAAGCCAAACTGGGCAACTGAACAGGTAAGACTTTGTGTCATGAATTCATTGGGAGTGCGTTGATAGCCCGAAAGCAGCCGTCAGAATTGATGACCACATGTAGCGCTGCAGGTCCAAGCCGACCCGAGGACAATGTGGAACGGAAAATATCCAAGGAAGCGAAGAAAAAGGAATTACACGCCTTCTTCGTCACTTTGTTCAGCAAGTGGTTGTTTCTTGCGCCAAATTTAAATTTAATGAGTTCACAGAAAAACACAGTGTACCTCTCGGGACAACTGGCAAGGCTGAGGCCCGGCTGCCCTGGAAAAAAATGACGAGTGTACTTGGGGAACAAGGCTTGGAGATCGCCGGTTGGCCCGAGGGAGTCCCGAAACCTCGATCAGACGGCAAAGCCGACAAGGGCATATCGGGATTCAACACGGAACATATTGCGGCGCTGTACAAGGCGATGAAAGCTGGTCAGATTGACTTTCTGCCGTTGGCAGGTGGGTCACCGACAAACGATGCCCCACGGGTGCGGCAGAGAGAAGACGACATGGAGGAAGTGGAGATACGGCCATCGAAGAAAGGAAAGTTGGCAGAGACGAGGAAGATGTCGAAAGCTTTCGTGGCTGGGAAGAGTGTGATGAAGTTTTGAAACCTGGCATGAAGAGGGAGAGGAAGAAATCGTTGTTATCTATATTACCATGTTCAATGTTGATTGTGAGGGTTCTCATTCAAGAACTGTGATTCAAATGTTGCGCCCTGTCGAAGCTCAGTACCTCTTTCACGACGGAAGTCAGGTGGCTCCATCATCAAGCTCAAGATTGAACTCGCGCATTAAATATAGAAAAGTGACTAAAACGATGGTCCCGAAAGCTCGGGCGCAGGTGTTCCGCAGGCACCTCTACAGTTTCGCACCCTCCACAGGCTGCGCACTGCTGCGCTTTTGTGGCTCGTTAAACAGACATAGCCTACACACAGTGGAATTACCACGCAGCACCCGCTGGTTCGGAGGTTTTTATTCCTCGATGATTTCAAATGTGAGCCAAGACCCGGTAGCGGGAGGTCCTGGGAGGTCGGCACCTGCATCACGTGGCATGTTGCATCTCAATCTGCGGGAATTGCTCGTTCGATTCGCGACGACGAATCGTGCCCGGGCCATATCTTTCTCAGCAACCTCCTTTTTATCTCTCTGTCTCCGAACCAAGCTACTAGGGTATATATAGAGGCAGTAGTCCGTGTTCTTGTGTGCTCCCGCTCGAGAATCATTACAAGGGTCAGCTCAAGATCTAGATTCTACGAACACACCGCGGGGGACAACAGAGGACAAGCATATTACTTAATTTATTAATATCGCACCTGCGTACACCTTGGTAAACACACTTCTCTGTCGTCTTACATCTCACGTTCAAGATAAGCCTGGTCATCTAGTGCGTTCTAATATACGAGAACGCGGTCTCAAGACCGTGTACGCGTGGATGCAAATGAGATCAGGTTACCTCGCTCGCGCGATGCACCTTGTCCGATAGCTGCAGAACGGGGTATTGCTGATGCGGCGCGGATCACCAACGCCTTCGCGGCACGCGGGAGGGAGCTCATGGAGCTGCGTTTGATTCATGACGGCTTTGGAGGAGCGCCAGAGAGAGGGGTGCTAAGATTAGATTCGGTTTGTGATTGGCGCGCACTTCAAGGTGATGATGACGTCATCGCACTCTTTCTTCGACTCTTCTTCCTTTTGTCTTGGACGCGATTTTACTCCAAGACTCGGGAGAGAATTGGGTACGGTATAACTTGTGGGTGGCAGGAAAGGGAAGGTGCATCGGAGGTCAGTCCGAATTTGCAGCTTATTCAGAATATGACCCACGCTACGTTCTCAATCTTAGACAAGCTCACCAAGAGGAGGGGCAGACCCCGTGGCGGATGGCTCCGCCTCCACCTCCTGTCATTTATCTTTTTTTTTTTTTTTTTTTGAGTGTTTGGGATAATGTAACTCAGTCTGCAGAAGCATTCCAAGCACATCCGCTTGTGTTGCTGGATTTTCGCCAGTCATGTCGTGGAAGTTGTCCAGGAGGAAATGCCGTTATGCACAAATTACCGGTGTGTGGGACTCCAACCCTAAAATTATCCTATCCCAAGTTTAACATCAATGGGTCGCATACCCACTAAAACCCCCTCAGTAAATGTCCAATCATCCGGCAGACACTGTTCATCCATAAGTAGACCACTCCATGTGTTTAACACCAATTGTTTTTTGAGTGCGAGTAGCCCGAATTTGACTTTGTCTGTCAAAATTTGGTCCCGACACAAGGTCGTATTCACAGTTTGTAGCCATTGGTTGTGAATGTGTGATACAGAAAGTATCATCTCAGGATTCTTTATGACTCGGTTTACTCGTAGGTTCCATATCAGGTTCCACACAATCAAAACTAATATCGCAAACAGTCTGCTCTTCTCGGGCTGTATCTTACCCTTAGCTGACTTGAACTTCACAAAGTTGCATCCTAATACCAGGCCCCAGTTTAGAGTCGGCCAATCTGTATATTTCTTGGACCAAAGTTGTTCTGTTAGGCTCCAAATTAAATTTTGCCCCAGTGCATTGCATTCCAAAGCAATATGTTCCAAAGTTTCGGGGACGTCACAAACATGACATGTGCCAAATCTCTCCAGAGAGTCAACGTGGGACCAGAAATCACCCACTCGGAATGCATTGTGTATACATTTCCAGTAGAACTCTCGCGACAGGCATTTCAGTGTTCCTGATCTGATAGAGTTCCAAATCATTTCATCGGTTGGGGTATACTTCGAGATTTCTTCAACCGAGCATCGTATGCGGTCTAAATTTATGAATGTGTATTTTCGATGAGGTCTGGGTCGCAACAATCGCATAGCCTTTGTAAAGAATCCCTGTGATCCGGAGGATAGGAGTATTCCTGGACAATGGAACATGAGATCTATGTCTGTGTCAATTTCGACAGCCTGGGTTATTACATTTGTTAAAGACTTGGCAGGGTTGTCTGGCACTGTTTTAAATTGAACTCGGGCTGCTCTCTCATTAAATTGTGCCAGAACTGCATTCAAAAGACGGAAATTGGGATCCAAGATATTGTTCTCAGATTTCTTCCTTTCCTTGACAAGGGTTCGTGATAAGTATTCTGAGGAAGCACAGATCAAGAGTGGAATATTTTTCTCGGTGGCCTGCAATGTCCACAGTAACCCACCCAGCACAGCAGATGCAAATGTAAGAGGTATATTTGGTTGATCAAAGGTTAGTGATAGTTTTTCACTTCTTTGGTGAGTGTTCGATATCGACTTGATCATGACTTCGGCAGTGGGGTCAAACTGGCCAGCACGGAGAATTGTAGCATGTAGAAATACTGTAGTCTTACTGGGTTCGTTACCAGGTATCTTAGATCTCCTTGCTGGTCGCTCATTGAGAGGATCATCAAATGCAAAAATGCGGAAGCCGTCACCCATATTTGATAAGCTAAAATTCGGGTCATAAACCATTATTTGGTCGTGTTCTAAGGGACCTTTGTTCAATTGCAGCTCTTCTTCTGTCAGGGATAGCTCATTGCATAGGTCCGGGTTCGGAATGGTTGGGTTCCATTTGGCAAACAGACTGTCTATCAGAATTTTAGCAGTCTCAATGCACTCCCCAGGATGTGTGCAATCAAATTGGATTCGGTCGCGATAACACAATGAGCAGCCACAGTTCTTACGGCCAATTCCTGATGCATTTATTGTGTGAGGCTTCCGTACATTAATTGTTCTTCTAGTTGCGATGGTGAGTGCGTCCTGAACTGTTCAGACTTCATGATTTATTCTGAGACAAGCCGCTGCATCCTTACGACAGGCATGCAAATGTCGCAGTTTGTTCACTCCTGGGTGTTTCCAGATAGGCATTTCCAATTTTATGTGGTTATCGATAGATAGGGCCGTAAATTGTAGCCTATATTTTCTAGCTACCAGTATCATCCGCTTGATATCATCTGGTAGCGGAGTTCTGCTAGAAATGGGGACATTAATCCCTTGTAAAAAAACATTCATCACCTGGCCAGGTCTGAAATTGAGATAGCTCATTTCTAGGAATTTTCTCAAGATGTAATCGACGAAATAGCACCATGATGCACGTTGATCACCCTGTGCTAGGTAAAATTGTAAATTCCATAAGTCAATAGCCTCATTTCTGGTTGGTATATCCAATATCTGCTTGCCCCCTTGGGCAATGGGCAAAATCATCGTTTCGTGGCCAACTCGGGCTTTCTTTCCATCCCAAAGAAATGTGTGTTCAGCTCTGATCAATGTGGCTTCGATGTCTTGTGGCATTCCTGTCATTTATCGCTATAGCTTCGTGCTGGAGGCGCGCGCTGGATTCGAGCCTGGGCCATGCTTGCAAGGACGACATGGTTTTTCTTCCTCCTTCACTTCTCTGTGACTCATGATGAAACTGGACTTCCAACAAATTGTTTACTGCTTATCTAAGTTCGCAGGTACACTATGAAGGCCCAGTAGCGGGAAGTCCGCGCTTGCACTCAGTCGATAAATATTCTGAGAGGACCAATCCGCAGGAGTTGCTCGTTCGATTCGAGCCCGGGCCGTATGTATTGGCAGTACTTTTCTTTTCTTTCCCTCGGCGAGTTTGATTCTGGCGTCCACAAGAGACCGAATCGCTGTCCCTTGCCAAGTGCTTGAAGCCAAAATTCTTGTTTGTGCAGTGCATTTGTAACGGGTTGAGTGAGTGAGGTTTATGCTACGTTCCCATGTACGATACTATCTTATCCAGGATTGCAGCTACCCCAAGAAGGCCTGGTAGCGGATGGTTCTGCGCCCGCACTCGGTAGGTTGGAGTAAGAACGGTTTGCGGGATGTGCCCGTTCGATTCGGGCCCGGGCCGTGTGTAGCCACGGTGTCGTGTTTTCACTGCCGAGCCTGGATTACAAGGCGCTGAAATGGATGGCTCCCACCAAATTCCTAGGTATGGTGCGTAGAGTGGTTTGCACCGGCCATCATGGCGTAGGGGTTTGTTTTTCTTCCTACAAAGAGAGATTATAGTAAGTTGAATTTCGATGCGGCTTATCCAAGTTCAGAGGTTGAGTATGAATGGCGCGATGGCGGAACTTGGCGAGGGATTGGATGAAGGCCTGCTGGCAGTATCATTATATTATGCAGGAGGCTCGTTCGAATCGAGCCTGGGCTATGCACGTTGTAACAGCACATTTTTTTATTCGGCGCGAAGTCCAAATTCGGTAACCTAACCAAGCTCAGAGGTAACTAAGGAAGGACCGATAGCGGGGGTCCGCACCCGCGTTCAACTTACAGACATGTTTGCGGGCGTCACTCGTTTGATCCGAGCCCATGTTATCGCCCTGCCATTCAAACACTTTTACAGCTAATTGCGGAACATAGGGCGCGGCCCATTTTTTTTTTCCATTTTGAGCTGTTTTTGATTGTTTTCACCGTATCGCTCATTGCGGGCTCTTTTCTCAATGGATCGCTTCGAAAAGTTTATGGGCGGAATCGTGCTGCGATTCTGGAGGGGCTGACATGATCTGTTTATTTTTATTCGGCCTGTAGGAAATGAGGTGCCAAATTTCCCTGTTTTCATCTGAATCTCCTCATATAGGAGGAGATGTAAATATAATATTTCGAGTCGTCATTAGGGAGGTCCTAAGAACATTGCGAAGGTCCTAACTTTGCCATATTTTCTCTATGGGTCTCTTACAGCATGAACCATGCCATTGAATCCAAGAAAGTGAGCTTTGAGCATCCATTGCTCAAGTACCGTGTTCTGGCTTGTTCTCTGGCTTGTTCAGCCAGATATTTTATCAGAGCTCACCATGGGGTCTTTGGAAGAGACCTCACGACTCAGATTCGGTTCAAACGTCCATGTCTCAGTACACGACGCGCTCCAATCTGCCATCAGTCACGGGCACGTGTGGTTAGGCATTGTAGGGGAGATCGCTCCAGTTCGAAAAGAACAAAAAAGAGTCAGGGACCATGGTAGACGAGAAGCGTACGTATCAATGAATATTCCACCTGCGGTAACCAGTTACAATTCTGGATGTATACGTCTCTCCCATCTCACACTCGAGTTAAAATTACACCTGACCGCCGAACACGCGGTCCTAACTCCCTTTCACTGACACCTAGAATTTAAGTAATCAAGCGCGACATGAACGAATTAAACTTACGTCTGACCACCGAACGCGCAGTCCTGACCCCGAGTCCCCCTCACCTAAAGCACGCGTCGGCGCCGGCGTATGTATCGGAGAATGTATATGTCCGCTTGGACATAAATGCGGTCGAACTTCACGCGCCTCCTCCGCCAGCTGCTGCACACCGTGAGTTGTTGTCGACGCGGGGTAAAAAGCAGCGTGTTGTGGACTTCGGGGACGAATTATGGAAGTATGCGGCAGCTGGGAGGTACGACGCACCTGCCTACGTTTGAGCTTGAGGATCGCCTTGGGTACGTGCGTGTGTCAAGCGGGGCGCGTCTTGATGCGATTGAGTAGGCCTTGGCGGGATAGGTGTGTGGGAGGCCCGGGAAGCCGGGGAGACTCGCACGACGTACGGCTTCGTGAGGAGGTATGTCGGAGCGCGTGCGTCGCTGTCAGGGTGAGATTGGAGCGGAAGGAAGCGGGGGCGTACAATGGCGTGTGGGGAGGAGTGAGAGGGGCGGGCGGCGGGGATAACGGGATGGCAGATGGGTCCAGCAGTGTGTGCGGGGAGTGGGAGCGAATCGAAATGTAAGGGAGTGAGAAGGACGGAGCGAATGGCGTACGGGAGAAGCAGGGAAGCGAGGCCAGACCATCTATGGAGGCGAAAGGACGAGGACGAAAGGACAGGGGCGTGAACGGGGAGGGTAGGGATGCAGGCTGATGAGCACACGTAGATGTAGACCGTGTGTGTGAGGAGATGAGGGTGGAGGATGCAGGCGCGCGGAAGATATCGGGCATACACTCGGACAGGTGAAGCGCCACAGACCCAGCGACAAAGGGAGGTGGGGACGAGGAGAGACCGGGCGCAGTGGCACGGGGACGCAGCAACGCAGGGCCGCAAACACTGAGACATGGACGTAAAGGGCAAGTCAAGCCAACACTTACCTCAACGTTAACCAACACGCATGCACATCCCAAACGCCCGGTACGCCTCAAATGCCTCTTTGATGTAGTCAAAATTTCTTGCGGGTGGGCGAGCCAGCGGTACCGTGTCGGCCGGGGACGCAGACACGCGGGACGGGGAGGATGGCTCGAAGGGCAGGAGAACGGCACACAGGACACAGCGCAGCGATCCGCGAGTGGAGCACGGCGTGCACAGTACCAGCACAGGCGCGGTCGCGCTCGCGACGAAGATATCGCCGGGTGGACAACCTTGCTAGCATGGAGAGCACAAAGATTTAGAAGGGATCCAGGTGGAGGACTGAGGAGCGGCGGCGGCGGCCTCATCTTTCCCTGTGATTGTCGGAGGGTCACGGGACGCGTCGCGATCTCATTGATGGACCAAAGATGCCACAATATAGATCTCAGGAATTCGATCAAAATTCAGCGGTGGTTCAATGGCGTGTGGCGCCAGTGAACTGCGTAGAAGGAGTACCGAGATTCATTAATCTCTTTTGTATACCTCTACGGCTATTATGTACGTTGAAAATAATCTTCCATCACTCGAGGTGTTGACTTTCCGTAGGGAAGAGAACTTGAAGTAAGACGATTGGAAGCCCCGGGACTGATTTGAACCGATTTCCTGTCCGAAGGACGCACAGGAGTATTGTTAGTCTCTGTTCTGCGTACCCCACTGGGCATGTTTACATCTTCCGTGTGATTTCTGTGCCCCTGATTACCGGTTGTAGCTCCCCGAGAAGTCTGGACTTTGGATACGGCACTCAACGGGTCGACTCTGCATTGAACTTGCAGCCAATTTCGCCGAAAGCAACCCTAACGCCCGATACATAATGGGAAGTTCTAGATCCTGTATCCCATTATCCTCTCTCAGACCTGGTCTTGAGTTTAGCATTATTGATTCTCTCGCCGTGGAGCATTTTCATGAGATTTGTCACTGGTATCTGTCAACTCCCGCCAGGCTTACTCATGATAGAGTCACTCCCGGCGCAGTCATGTCCATGCAAGATGAAACTATCCAATAATTTACCCACATACCTAATATTACTGTCAATGCCAGTAGATGGAGAGGAACTTGGACCGACTGTGGTCCAACCAAACCTGTGGATATGCAGAATGGTTGGAGTCGGTATGTGCTTCCTTCTCTCTCCCCTCTCACATTTCTGTCCACCTAACTTCTGTTCGAGGTTTACCTAAGAAACGACCTCTAATGCTTTAAGGGTTTCATTCATCAGTGGAACGAAGATCGAAATTCAACACTGTTGTATATTGCTGGCTTTCTCAGGCAAATTATGTCTTTAGTCAGATGCCTACTATGCCACATTACGAGGATTGTTGTGAGTAAAACACTTTTCAGTAACTTGATCGTCCTCAACTTTGCATAATAGTCCTCATATCTAGGATCGACTATGTGCTGAGATTTTCAAGTTCTTCGGAAAGCCTCCCGGAAGGCTACTTGTTCGTTCCTCTGTCCGTTGGCAGATCTGCAGTGTGAAAATGGAACATGGCTTTCAAACCCTGATTGTCCTGCATATTCGTCCCTGGATTCCTCCGGAAGGCAGAGACTCAGTGTAGAGGAGGCATCCACCCGCGGATTTCCTTATTTTGAGATAGAGATAAAAACTCAGAGGGATTCTTGGCATGGAGATGTCTGCACAGCGCTCAGCCACTTTCATGCGGATAAAGAACTTGATCCTAACAGTCAAGACATCGCCCGGCACCTTGGATACCCCATTTACGAGCTCTCTTGTAGCTCTAACCTCGACAGTGCGTGTAGTAAGCATTATTCTCATATATTTCATTTTTTGTCAGAATTTGACGCCGCTTATATGTCAGTTGAGGAAGTATCTTTTGGATCCAATGACGACAACGCAGTATTGCTGCCACACGGCGCTTCCCACCCCCATAATTTCAGAGTTATCATCATCTGTGCTTGCGGATTATTTCTGGCACTCATCATGTCTTGGTCGTACCAGTATTTACAGTAAGTGTTGGAAGAAGCATCATTGACGGGCGGAGATTTCTCAACCAAGCCTATCTCCAACTGGAATAGATCTTCATCCAATTGGGTTCGCTTTCCTCAAGGTCAAGGCGGGAAACCCGTTGAAGGAACTGGGCTCCCGACTACCGATGGAGCACGTCGAGTGCCAGTACTATAACTAATGAGCATGAGGGCCCGTCTGTATGATTGACTAGCGCAAAATAGTTGAGTTATCGCATCGATCGCAACTGTCTGAGATCCCCAAGGAGGCGGAAACCAATCCGGTATATTCGTTGACATGGAACGACTCAGATAAGTCGAGCTTCATCCTCCAACGCATCAAACTCCGAGCCGAAACCGAATGATGAATTCATTAGTCTTTCACCGGAAATTATTCCTTTCACCTGCAACTTGTAGGAAGTACCCAATGGATAGGAATTTCATCACCGGCAGGTAGGAAGATGAACATCTTGTTCCTCCAATATCCCGAGAACTGCGTGTTTGAAATTTGGACCAACAGAGCAAATGTACTATAAGGTCGGATTGTGTAACTTGATTTCAAGCCGGGAAAGTCATTCCGTCAAGTGAAAAATCATCATGCGGTTCGAATTCAGCGCAGGCCATATATACCGAATTGATCCGAATGCCCTCGGGTTAGTTTAAGGTCAGCATTTCTCCTGCTTTCACTGACATCGTTCTGGCCATCAAGACGAAATCGCACCACATCTGCATCTCCCACATCTGGCGCCCATATCTGGCTCCCACTCAATGTTTGTAACTTGCTGACATTGTCCTAGT